TTTTTTTCTCAAAAGATCCTTCCCATTTCCTTCACCCCACCCACCCACTGAATTGTTCAACCCTATGATTAACACCCTACCCCCCTATCCTCACTCCTCTATTTCCACCCTTCCTCCCACCTTGGATCCTCATACTCATTCTACAATAATGCTTTTATACAGTATTAGTCCTTGTGAGACTGAATTAGATCACTGAGCAAAATGCTCTCCAGTCTCTCCCAAGTTAGGTAGTAATTTACAAAATGATTGCTCCTGAATGCTGCATAGTATTCCACTGTGTGAATGTGAATGTACTACAACTCTTCTCAATCCATTTGTTTGTGGTTGGACGTCTGGGCTGTTTCCATGTTCTTGCGATGTTGAATAATGCTGTTATGAACACTGGTATACAAGTCTCCATTTGAGCCTCAGTTCTCATTTTCTTGGGGTATATTACAAGCAATGGAATAGCTGGGTCATATGGGATTTCTATGATCAGCTTTTTTTTTAAGGAAGTGCCAAACTGCCTTCCGGAATGTAAATGAGTCTAAATGCACTTTTTCCAAGACATGTCCATTTGTTCTTCTGACCATTCATGGGATATTCAGTATTCTTCTCCAAAACCATGACAAGGCATCAATACTTTATGATCCTTAGTTATTGTCCAACACTCAGATGCACATCAAGTGACTGAAAAGACCATGGCCTGAATCAGGCACACCCTAGCCTTCAAACTGACATCACTGCTCCTAAGTACATGGGCAAGGTCCCTGACAGCAGACTTTCTCAAAGCTACATTTCTCTTGATTTCCTGACTACTGGTACCAAGGGATTAGATCTAAATAAGATTAAATAGTTGATAATGTAAATTTTTTTTCCTCCATCTATCATGATGTTGCTGATTGGCCTTGTGGTGAGAATTTTTGTTTTCTTGATGTTGAGATGTAATCCATACTGAAGGTCACAGTCTTTGATTTTCAGTGGCAAGCGTTTCAAGTCTTCCTGACTTTCAGCAAGAAAGTCTGTGTCATCCGCACAATGCAAGTTGTTGATGGGTTCCTATGATCCTCCTGCCACATTCTTTGACATATAGTTCAGCTTCTCAAATTATCTTCAGCATACAGACTGAAGAGGTATGGAAAAAAGATACATCCCTGACACACACTTCTGATTTTAAAACCATGTGGTGTTTCCTTGTTCTATTTGGTCAACAGCTGGTATAGGTTTTACATGAGCATAATTAAGTGTCCTGGAATTCCCATTCTTCTGAATGTTAGACATAGTTTCTTACAATCTACCTAATCAAATGCCTTTGTACAGTCAGTAAAACACAAATAAACATTTGTGTCTTCTGTGTGCACAACACAGAAGGGTAGTCCTAAATACAATGAGTTCCAAGTGGTAGCTTCCAAAAAAAAACACAACAGACACAGAAACACACACAAGTAGAAAACAGATGTCATGTGGGAATACATCTAACACACAAAGGTACACCACAGGTACACTGGAAACTAAAACAGTGAGCTCCACACAAAGAAGTAACATAATTGAGACCCTGATTGACTTTTAGCCTCTCAAATTGTGAAAAAATAAATCTCTGTTCCCCAACAGCAGTCACTTGGGGTATATTTTGTTATGGCAGCACTACATAGCCAACAAAGGGACTATTGATCTTCTCTACATGGACAGGGGAGCACAACCATCTCACAGTCCAAGACCCCAGTAGGTCTTAGCTTGTAGAGCTTTCTTCATTCAGTCTTTGATGGCGTAGTCTGAAGGTAGCTGCACTCCTAACCCAAAAGGGGCACCTCTCCAGTAGTTCAAATCCACTAGTGTCTCCATGGGGGAGAATGATGGGCAATCTTAACCTGTGAGAATTATAGCCTCAGAAAAACCACTGAAGGGTCAGCTATGAGTCAGTTCTAACTTGAGATTAATGAGCTTGAGGGAGTTTTTCTTTTTAGACTTCAGAAATTCTCATCTTCTCCATTTTGATGCTGATAAAAGCGAATCACTTCCAATTATTGAGCATCTAACCATATGTTGGGTATCATGTTAATCCCTTTTAAAAAGTAATATTTAAATTGTCATCACACTTCTACAAGATAGAGAACACCTCACCATCTATGGCCAGCTGCACCAGGATGCCACTGTCCCACCCTCTCCTCTAGGTAAGAGTTAAGGATTTGGGGGTGCGACTGAACACCCTCATGTCATACTGACTTGCTTAGGATTGACCCTGTCATGTTGCTGTTGTTATGTACTGTTGTTCAAGTCACCCACAACTCATAGTGACCCTATGAACAACAGATAGGAACCTTGCCCTCACCATCCTCACAATCTTCCATATGCTCAAGTCCATTGTTAAAATCACCGTGTCAGTCCATCTTGTTAAGGGCATCTTCTGCCAATGACCCTCTACTTTTCCCTGTCATGATGGTTTTTTCCAAGGCCTGCCCCTCCAGACAATGTGCCAAAGTATGTGAGGTGAAGCTTCACCATCTTTGCCTCTAAGTAGCACCCTGGCTGGACTTCTTCTAA